CCTTGCAAGGACAGCGCACAGTTAATTGTGTGTGTACCTGAGTTATATAGACCTGGAAGGTGTTGTTTTGGAACGATGATCAACAGAGTTTGCTGATGTCAGTCAAAAACGCTTGTCGATACTCACTGCCATATAGCACATAGTAGGAGGTTGGGTGAGCTACCAAAGAGAGGCTGTGCGTCAGAAAGAGTCAATGTGCGCAATCGATTTCCACTTTTCACCCACAAAATACAGTCAATCCACTTGACAATATATTCCGTGCAGCGCTTAGCGATATCTTAAAACATGATAAGGCGCTATATCAGATGCAAGTAATATTATTATTATCATTATAATTATAATGGCCCCAGGAGACGAGGGGACAGGAGAACATTGATACAGAGAAATCTGCAGCAAAAGACAATGATCAAGGAAATGAATGAAGCAGATAAGGTAACTACACGTGTTAATGTAGTTAACATAATTTTTTTTTGTCCATTTAACGTCCATTTAAGGCGTAGTTGATTACACAGGAGTAACTTTGACTGCACCCTTTTTAGGAGAGTTAAATTAGGGTGTAAACTGTCTCATCACCTAACAAGAAGAAAATGCTCCAAGCCTGCAAACCTTGCCAGTAATCAACCACATCAATGAATCATGTGGTCTGCAGCAATGCAGGGAAAATAATCCAGCAGCATATATTAAGGTTAGGTAATGTTCCAATTGTTGATGAAGGTAAAAGAATGGGACCTGCTTGTGATCTCAAAGAAAAATCCCCAAATGAAAACATACAAGTATTACAGTGCGAGCTCTACACTTTACGTGCCAGTAAACTCGCTCTCACACACACACATTCACATACACACGTACGTACGCACGCACACACTCACTCACACACTCTCTCTCACACACACGCTCAAACACACAAGCTCACACACACACGCTCGCACACCCACCCTCCCTCACTCCCTCAATGCCCTGATTGCTACTTGGCTCCAATACAGGTTACGCAGGTCTGAACAGATTGAGCAGGTTGAAAAATGGGCCATACACAATGACCGTGAGTATCACTGGGTGGGCGGATTGAATGCAAGTTCTCAGTATTCAACCAGAAACTTGTTGCTCATTAAAATAATTGTTTTTTTCCTTCTTTTGTTATCTCGCAAACTCCCAAAAGGGGAAAACACATTCACTGCTCTCCATTAGGAATGAGGCTTTTTTTAAAAAAACACAAGCGTTCTATTTCAGTCATTGCAAAACAAGACGTTCAAATGAACTGAAACTTTCTACTAAAAGTGTATATGTTGAAAACAAAAGGTGTGTTTTTGGTCTTTTGTCATCTCTACACGAGAGGTCACCTATACAGAAAAAATCCCTGCATGTTGCACTCCAATATACAGGGTGTTTACAAAGTCCTGTTACCCCCATGTTCACCCCCCCACCCACCCTACAGTGCACTGACCAACCACTGACACAAGTGGAAGAATGATGATAATTGTATTTAGAAGTACATTATTGTATTCAGTAAAAGTGTGTAACTGTATTTAGATGCCCAGAGGATGGATGGATGGGTGGGAGGGAGGGAGTGCCATCATTTTCATGGCAACAACAAAATTATATTTGTAGAACGCCTTTCACGTCGGGAGGACGTCCCAAAGCGCTGGCAGATAGTGATCCGTCACCACGTTCGGTGCCACATCTTCCAACAACAAATTGCATTTATATAGCGCCCTTCGCACAGAGGGGGCAGGGTCCCAGTGCACTTAACTTGGATGGAGTGACATGGTCTGAGTGAGGAGGCAAAATGCATCTCATGAGAAGTTATTTCAGCTTCTCTGTAATCTCTTATTCCTGTTTTGTAACAAGGAGTAAGAGAATTTTGTACCCAACAATGTTTACTCAATGCCTCAGTTAGTAAATTAATTGCCCAATATGGAACACTTTGGCAGGCTTGAGGTCCCAGGTTTGATTCACAGTATGCACAGAGTTGGGTAACTTGAACTGGTGCCATTGGAATTTGCCTTCATGATCCTTAGCAAGGAAAAGAGTAAAAATAACATAGTTCGGAGATTTTCATCCAGGCTTCTGTTGACTACTGTGAGGTCATGTGAGGACATGTGATGAGGACAGGCCGAGCCTTGGCTGCGATCACTCACAAAGCCAGAGAATCCGTTGACTCACCATGTGGCGTAGTAGTGTACTATAGCGTCACAGTCTCTCTGCTTCCACAATCTGGAACTCCATCCCATCGTCCCTTCACCTCGCTTCCTCCCTTGCCTCCTTCAAGGCCGGTCTCAAGACCCTTCTCTTCGACCGTGCCTTTGGTCTCCCTCCCATCTCTCTGCCTTCCCTCATTCCTACACCAACCCTCCCCCAGGCTCGGGCCCCAACATCTGACTGTTCAGCACTTTGGGATGTCCTCCCGACATGAAAGGCGCTCTATAAATGTAATTTTGTTGTTGTTGTTTGTTATTGTTGTTGTCACTGATGCTGTGAAACAATACCCAGCAAATATGAGTGATGAGTGTTGAAGACAGAGAGACGGTAGTAGATATGCATTGCAGAGCAGAACCACAGCATCTCCAAGACCCATCATCAAGATTAAAACCTAACATGGGTCCAACTGCATAAAGACTGAATATTTAGCAATAGACCAGAATATTTAGCAACGGGCCAATAGCATGTGGGTGAAGGATTAGTCAAATGTCCAATAAATGCATTCCAACAGACCTGCAAACTCACAAGTGGTTTTGCAGTCAACATTTGTGGTCCAGGCATTATACAAACACCCCCCCCACTAGATGCCTATGGGTGCAACAGTGGATAAATGTGGCAGCTTTTCACCTCTGGGATCTGGCCTCAAATCAAAATCCCTCTTGACTTCAAGGATCTCATATGAAATGAGCTTGAATTGTCTCTGCTCAGTTCCGAATGTGCCCAAATTTGCCTTGTTATGAAGACGGCCTTGTCTAATAATAATAATGCTTGCAATTTATGTTGGGCCTTATCACGTCGTTGAGATGTCTCCAAGTGCTTCACAGAATATATTGTAAAGTGAACTGACTGTGTGTACGACAAACAGCAGTGTTCCACAAACAGTGGTGGATTGAGTGACCAAATTAATATTTTTTTTAAGGAATTATTACCCCCGGAAAAGCAATCCACCAATTAATTAACAACCGGGTTCCTATTTACTGCTAGGTAAACAGGCATGTGGAGTAAGGAACTTGCCTTATATTTCACCCTGCCCTGGAATCAAACACAGGTCCTCTCTCTTGCGGCAAGTGCTCTAACCAATTTCAGGACTCCACAAAAGTTTATTGTATCAGTGCAAGTTGTTATAAGACAATTAAAGTTTTGCCTTTTGCTAATGTTAAAAACTGAGGCCAGAATCCAAGAACAGCAGGTACAGAGCGTGAGTGACACAGCATGCAAATAGGCTATCCCGACTACCCAACCCATGGCAAACTTGTTAAGATTCACATGGCTACATTGAGGGAAGCTGTCCTCTTTGGTGCTACTCGATAGTTGAATGACAACATTATTTTGGGGAAATTATCTCATGTGGAAAATCAGCCGCATCAACATGTGAAGAAAAACATGTTTAGCAGTTTGTCTGAATAGGATTATTATTATTGTTTTTTTGTCTCCGGCAGCACAAAAACACACTGATGCGATTCTTGCCTCTTGCCCTCTCGATTTCCAATGAATCTCCACCCTCCTCAGTAACTTGAGCTCACAGTCTAGGCTGACACTCCACTGCAATATTGGGGGTGTGCTGTATTGTGGGAGGTGCCATCCTTCAAATGAGACATTAAACCAAGGTTCTATCTGTGTGTGTTCAAGTGGATGTTAAAGATCCCATGGCACTATGTAAAGAGGAATTTCTGCTGGTGTCCCGACCAACATTCCTCCAGATAAAATTGTCCTTTCATTTCGTAGATGTTTATAGGGATGTTGATTGGAATTCTGGGCTTGGTTTGGATACTGTTAAGCGTTGGTGATTGGTTTCTGCTTCTGTCTTGACACCTGGCTGACCAAAAAAAAACTCTTAAAAAAATATTAATTTGGTCACTCAATCCATGACTGTTTGTGGAACTCTGCAGCCCGTGTCCTCTCCCGCACCAAACTCCGTGACCCCATCTCCCCCATTCTCGCCCGACTCCACTGGCTCCCTATCCTTCAGAGGATCCAGTTCAAGATCCTGGTTCTCACCTACAAAGCCCTCCATGGCCTCACCCCCTCCTACCTCTGCGACCTCCTAACCCCCTACCAACCCGCCTGCTCCCTCCACTCAGCCGGCTCTGGCCTGCTCCAAGTCCCCGACCCAACACACCCCACCATTGGCGGGAGAGCCTTCAGTCACTCTGCCCCCAACCTCTGGAATTCCATTCCCCAATCACTCCGCCTCGCCCCCTCCTTAGCTTCCTTCAAGTCCCGCCTCAAAACCCTTCCTCTTCGACCATGCCACTGGTCACCCCTTTCCCCTCCCTTCTCCCTCCATGACCCCAGCTCGGATTGAAATGCTGTACATCCAGCGCCTTGGGATGTCCTCCCGACGTGAAAGGCGCTATACAAATGTAATCTTGTTGTTGTGTGGGACACACAATCCATTCACTTTACAATATATTCTGTGAAGCGCTTTAAGATGTCTTGAAGACATGATAAGGTACTATATCAAATGCATGGATTATAATTGTTATTATGTACGACTTGGATGATTATATGATTTATAAAGATAAAAGACTTATGTGAGTTTTATTTTACCTTCAGTGGTTTTGATGGAAGACTGAATGGGATTGGGTGGATGTATGACTTAGATGATTATATGATTTATAAAGCTAAGACTTGTATGGAGTTTCACTATATAGCATCTGTCACGGACGGACAGGGTATGAGGAGATCTGAGAGATAAGGGGGTGCCAGGGACTGGATGACTCGTCAGCCAACACAGTGTTGAATCCCTGGATTCATAATATTCTATCACTCATGTGGATACACATTTGAGCAGAGTGTCTTACCTTTAATGCACAGTGGATTACTAGGTGTGAGTTCCTTGCTCAGTTTGGGTTGTGGGTTACCATGCTGTTTTCGAGTTTCAAGGTACCGTTTGATCTTCAAGTTAACAGCTTCTTTGAGAAGAACGCAGACGTCCTAGAAATGCAAATGCAAACCCAGTGTCAGTCATTAAATTGTGTCAAGTTTTCAACTTGCCTGGAACCTCAGGTTTTAAAAGTATAATTATACATAGAGGTAATGGGCCCAATATTCGATCAGGGTTAATATTGCATTTTACAAACCTGTCTGCTCCCTCCACTCATCAGACTCTGACCTACTCCATATACCACCCACCCTACCATCGGCAGTTGGGCCTTCAGCCTTTCTGCCCCCACACTATTGAACTCCATTCCACAGAACCTTCTCCTTGCTCCCTCCCTTGCCTCCTCTTCGACTGCACCCTCGGTCAACCTCCCACCCACACACTCTCTGCCCTCTACCCCTCCTGATCCCAACCCCCAGCTCAGATGAAAATCCTTGACTGTCCAGCGCCTTGGGACGTCCTCCTGACGTGAAACGTGCAATGAAATTATAATCTGCTGTTGTTTGTTATTTGGAGAGTTAAGCAGCGTAGACAATGTGATTGCAAGTCCCAGTATGGGGCTTGAACCCACAACCTTCTGACTCAGAGGAGAGAGCGCTATCACTGAGCGAGTCTGACATACTAGCATATCCCCGGAAAGCAATTTGCCAATTGACTCACAGCTGGGTTCCTACTTACTGCTAGGTAAAGAGAAGCATGTGGAGTAATGGAAACTGCCCTAAGGTTCACAGGAAACCACTTTATCTTGGCTTCAAGCACGAGGCATGTGACAACTTTCGGAGGCTACTTTGGTTGGAACAACTTCTTTCCCCTCTAACAGCCTTGACCTTCTGCACCAAGCAGCTGAGACTCGCTGTACTACGAGCAGGGACAGGTGCCTCCAGCAACAGTGCCAGTAAGATGGGCAGCCTTGGATGCAGGTGACACACATGCCTTCTCCCAGCTCAGTGCAAGCTCTGATACAATGAATACGATAGCGGCATCTTACAGACAAAGCCGAGGCTCTCCTCATTAACGATTTGAGAAGACAAGAGCACGCATATACATAGTAATAATAATAATCATAATAATATCCTTGCATTTGGTATAGCGCCTTATCATGTCGGAAGGATGTCTCAAACACTTCATATGATTTACATGAGGATAAAACTACTCAAGTGAGCCCTGCTGAATTGTCTCTCTAATGTGGACTGACAAAGGACATCTCAGGATGTTTTGCTGCCTCACAGCACACAGACTGTGTCACTGCATTGGGTAAACGTCCAATAATAATAATATGCCTTATCCAAGGCTCTAGTCTTTCACACCTGTAAAATCTGTCATATGTGTCATATGTAAATTAATTACACAAGCACTAAACTTCCACCTCGTATGTTTTTCTCCAGTCTTTTCTTTGGGAATGTTGTTATGCGATGATGTCTCTAAATACTGCAGTTAATATGTGTACCAGAAAGTGCTTTTTGTTCTGTTTTGTTCTGCCTCTGTGAAGTCCTTTGTCAGGTCCTCCTGACATAAGACTGTATAAAATTGTTGCTGTCCTGCCAAGCCTCTATAATTGGACGTAAGAGTCCTTAGTCTAACGTGGTGTGGAAGGAAATAATCAACCAGGGCTACTGCTGTTCTATCAAGTAACAACAACAAAAACAACAAAATTATATTTGCATAGCGCCTTTCACGTTGGGAGGATGTCCTAACCACTGGACAGTCAGTGTTTCGGACCTGAGCTGGGGATGAAGGGTAGGGGGGAAAGGAGGGTAACTGAAGGCACGGTTGAAGTCAAGAATCTTGAGATGGGTCTTGAAAGAGGTAAGGGAGGGGGCCAGGCGGAGGGACTGTGGGATGGAGGGGCAGAGTGGCTGAAAGTCTGCCTGCCATTGGTGGGGCGGGCGAGGCGGGGGACGTGAAGCAGGCCGGAATCTGCTGAGCAGAGGGAGCGAGCAGGTTGGGCAGCAGGGGAGGAAATATTTAATCCAAAATGCTTGGCCAGGATGATTGTATTATTGTAATAATATTGTACATAATAATCCTTGGATTTGATATAGCACTTTATCATAGCATATACTGTAAACTGATGTAGCTGTGTGTATTTTGTGGGCAGCTAATTTGCACACAGCACTGTCCCACAAATAGCCATGAAGTGAGTGACCAATTTTATTTGGGGGATTGTCAGCCAGGCAGATGAGATCTCGGTTTAACATCTCATCCGAAGGACAGTGCAATCACATAGTAAACTACATAATTTCCATTTGGAAGCTACAACCTTGTGAGATCAGTTTCAAGGTGCATGTGGGAGAAGTATGTCTCTCGTCCAGTTACCTACTACCACATGTAGCCAGTGCCAGTGACCAGGACAACATCAAATTACATTTACACAGCGTCTTTCATGTCGGGAGGACATCACAAGGCACTGGACAGTCAGGGATTGGACCCGAGCAGGGGTTTGGGATCGGGGGGGGGGAGAGGGGGTAGGGGTAGGAGGGTGACCAAAAGCAGGGACAACGAGAGAGAAAAATTCCCTTCTTTTTTCCAATAGTGCCATTGGATCAGACACAGATGGGAGCTCGGTTTAACGTCTGCCTTATCCTAGGTGATTAACCATTCTGTGCCCAGTGATAAACTCAGTCATTCACTTCATGGCTGTTTATGGGATGTTGCTGAACCCAAATCGGCTGCTGTTATCATCTTTTAAAATACACTTAAAGTCACTACACTTTACAGTGAATCTTGTGAAACACTTTGGGACAACCTCCCAATACGAAAGGCACTGTATCAAATGTATTACAACAGTGACAACAACTTGCATTTCTATAGCAGCCTTTACTTGGGGTAGCGTCTCAGAGCACTTATTATTATTATAATTTTCACTTCTCCCAGAAGAATCGCATAGGCAATCTTGCAATTGTTAAGCAATCAGATTAAATCCACCACAGGGGTTTTAATCTGTTTTTCATACAGCGAGTTTTTGGGATTTGGAATTCATTGCCTGAAAGGGTAGTGGAAGCTGATTCAATAACAACTTTTAAGAGAGAAGTAGATACTTATTTGGGGAAGACAAGTTTGCAGGGCTATGGGGAGAGAGCGGGCGAGTGGGATTGAATTGGACAGCTCTTTTCAAAGAGCCGGCGCAGACACAATGGGACGAATGGCCTCCTTCTGTACTGTATAATTTCTGGAATGAATATGCAGTTACTATTTTTTTAAGATATAAAACAATACTTTTGGTTATTCAAGTAAATCAACATCATCTCTGAGTCATAAGGTGAGCCCCACTTTGGGACATGGAGCTCACAGTCCAGGCTGATGCTCCATTGCAGTGCTGGGGGGAGCACTGCACTGTCAGAGGTGCCCTCCTTTGGGTAATATGTTAAACTGAGGTCCTGTCTGTGCCTGTTCATCAGATGTTAAAGATCCTGTAGCGCTATTTAAAAAAATAAGGGAGTTTCTCTCTCCCAGTGTCCCCTGGCCAACAATCCCCCAGATACAATATTAGTCACTCAGTTCATGACTGTAAAGATCACTGCTGTGTATAAATTGCCTGCTGCATTTGCCTACAAATGCACAGAAACTCTGTGACGTTCTCTCCGTTTCAGGCGCTCAATCTTATTCCAAGTTAGGTCATTGAAATGCAGTTGTAGTTTGCCAAAATATTAAATCCCCCAAACACACACAATGAAAGCACTGAGCAAATTAATGAAATGAAACATGTCGCAGGCTTCAAATATCACAAGAATTGTTGGCCATTCAGGAGCCTCTCATGAGACTGTTTTTCCATCAATGCACAAGATATATAAATACATCATTGTACTTTGGTGCCCTCCCTGAAGCTATGTGCTGTTTTTTCTTGAAGTGGAATCTATTTTGTCAAACCTCCTTATGGTGTTCAGTAAACCAGCTGGTGTCTTGACTTGCACCTCGAGGCAAAATCTGAAGATCCACCAACACTGCAAAGTTCCCACACTGCAAAACAAAAGGGAAAGCATCAAGGTTGATCATACACAAGTTGCGCAGGTAGATGGCTCCTATGTTTGTATTTACTGACGAACGCTAAGTGTAGATTAATCTTCCATCTGCAGTCAATTAAAACTTTGGCTTCAACCAGATGCTGTATACACACATACGTTCGTGCAGTATGTTGACAGAGCTCAACAGCAGAAACATCAAATAAATCAGTGATAAAATACTCGAGGGAGAGACTATGGGGTGCTCTGTTCACTAAGGCATCAAGCCTAAACAATGTACACTTGCATCACATTACTGCTAGAGCAGAACTATGCAATGTTTGAAAAAAAATCTTTCCACATAAAATACGGGCTTTTTCCAAATTTCGGTCATCAATATGTTTGATGTTAACTTGTGACTTAGTCATTTTAACAATGCATTTGTTCTAGTTTGGATTGGCACAAAAGCAGCTGGAAGCCTTGCTGGGTTCTATTAATGCCCAAATGCAGTACAATGCCATTGTATTCTATTACTCTCACCTACTGAAATTCAAAGCCAACTTGCTATATCTCAAATTTCAAAGCTGTTTAAATCTTTTTGTTCATAATGATCACAGCAGGATTGTTTGCTGCTTAAGTTCGTACTTTCCTTTGTGCTGTAAATTTCGGTACAATCTTTTGGAATAGTGCTCGATCTTATATTTTATGAATGAGAAGATGTAAGTAAATATCTCTGAATATAGTGTATTGAATTTTAGCTAGAGCAGAACTCCAAACTCGTATGATCAAAATGGATCCATCTGAGGCGCACCAAGGAAAGATTAAAGCTGCTTTTTCTTTTAAGAAAGACTATACTTCAGGGGCCTTAAAGATGAGAGTTGTGCTAGTCATCAGCTAAGCTGGTAAAATACCACCTAGGTAGGTTTGAAAAGGGCTCCTCCAACAGCAACAAAAGCAGTTGGAACTATCACAAGAATAAACTGGATCAAGTTTATGTACAGTACACGACATCCACCCTGGTCCATTTCACATTGTCAGCCACCTGCTTCCAATTATATCAGAGAATCATAGAATATTGCAGGACAGAAGGAGGCCATTAAGCCCATGGTGCCTGTGCCAGCTCTTTGGAAGAGCTACCCAATCAGTCCCACTCCCCCAATGTTTCGTTTTGCCCACAAAATATACAGTCAATTCACTTTTACAGTATATTCTGTGAGGCACTTTGAGACATCTTGAAGCTGTGATCAGGCCTATATCAAATGCAAGGATTATTATTATTATTAGTTCCCCATATACTTGCAAATTTTCCTCTTCAAGTACCTATCCAATTTCCTTTTGAAAGTGGTTATAGTATCTGTTTCCACCACCCTTTCAGGCAGCGCATTCCATACCATAACAACTCTGTGTAAAAAAATGTCTCCTCGTCCCCCCTCTGGTTCTTTTGCCAATTATCTTGAATAAGTTATAGCACTTCCCTCACAAACCTGGGTTTGATTCCCAGGCAGGGTGAAATATTGGGGAAGTTTCCTTATTCCACACGTCTCTGTTTACCTAATAGTAAGTAGGAACCCAGTTCGATTGACGGATCGCTCTTCGTTGATAATAATTCCTTCAAAAAAACAAATTTGGTCACTTAATCCACGACTGTTTGTGGGACACTGTTGTGTGCAATTGGCTGCCACGTTTCATCCACAAAATATACAGTCAATTCACTTCATAGTGTATTCTGTGAATGGCTTTGAGACGTCTCAAAGACGTGATAAGGCACTCTATGAAATGCAAGGATTATTATTATCTGTTCTCTGGTTATCGACCCACATGCCAGAGGAAACAATTTCTCAAAATCTACTCCATCAAAACCCCTCATAATTTTAAAGACCCTCAAAAGTTCTCATAAGACCAGCTGTGTAGGTGGCAATCCTTCCCATTAGGTAGTTTTTCTTCTATCTTGTGTAAGTCATAGCTCTATGAAGAAGAGCACATTCTAACAGCATTTTACTTCAGTTCCTGTAGCATAATTCTTAGTGCGTTTGCCACGCAAGTGAGAGGCCCTAGGATCGATTCCTGGGTGAGTAGATTGAGTGACCACATTTTTTTTTGAGGGATCAAATCAACTAACAACCGGGTTTCTACTTATTGCAAAGTAAACAGAGGCGTGTTGAGTAAACTTGTCTGAGGTTTCGCCCCTCCCAGGAATCAAACAGCCATCTGAACCAACAGACGGACAAGGATTGGTTTAACGTCTCATCCAAAAGACGGCACCTCTGACAATGCAACACACACCCAGCACTACATTGGCGTATGTAGACTGTATGATTCCAAGTCTTGATGTGGGGCTTGAACCCACAACCTTCTGATTCAGAGGCGACACTGCGCCAGGCTGACACACAACTGGATCACCAAGGAAAGATACATTATAGCTCAAACACCATCAGCACAGGACTCACAGAGACCAAGGTCGCTCTATAGAAATGAGCGTCAAAGAATGCTCCTAACTATCACAGCGATGTTACAAAGCCTTACAGACTGGCAACATTTCCTGAGTTTCATGGCTATGACGGCTGGAGATAAGATGTGTATTTTGCTTGAAGATTGGATCTCAGATATATGCTTTTCTGGCATTATGGGCTCAGACTATATTTAGTCAGTATGTTTTCTTTTCAGGAAATCGTTTATTTTACATCCCAAAGCTGTTGGTGATACCAACAGCAACAAAAACGTGCATTTATATAGCGCCCTCCATGCCGGACGGTGTCCCAGAGCGCTTAACAGAGACAGAGCCTGACGCTGAGCCAGGGGGAGGGGGAAGGTGATCGTTGGCACGGTCGAAGAGGAAGGTATACGAGCGCAAACTGAAAATGGGGAGAGAGAGGGTGCAAGGCAAAGGAATTGAGGGATATAGTACCACAGCTTAGTTGCTGATGGCGGGGTGGAGGTTCCGGTGGACAAGGAGGAGATCGGAGCGAGTCGAGCGGGGGCAGTGGGTAATGATGTGAAGAGAGAAGAGGTTGGAGAGATAGGGGGGAGGCGGGGCGTAAAGTGATTTAAATACAAGAGTGAGGATCTTCAAGTTGATCCGCTCTGTGACAGGGAGCCAATGGACTGGGGTAATGGAGGCACGGAGTTTAGAAAGGGTGAGAATGTGAGCAGCCGAGTTTTGAATTAGTTGAATTCTGTGAATGCCACACGTGGGTATCGAGCGTCAACCTGGCTTAGTTCGTATCATCCAAGTTAATTGGGACTCTGAGCTCACGGGCTCAGTTGGCACTCCAATGCAGCGTGGGGGGAGCGCTGCATTGTCAGAGGTGCCATCCTTCCATGAGACTTTAAACCGAGGTCTCGTCTGTGTAGGTGGATGTTAAAGATCCCGCGGCCCTACTCAAAAGTAGAAGAGATTTCTCTCTCCCGGTTTCCTGGCCAATAACCCTGCAGATACATCAATTTGCATTTATATAGTCCCCTTCACGTGGGCTAGCGTCCCGAATACTCACTCCATGGTTGTTTGTGGGACACTACTGAATGCAAAAGGGTTATTACGTTTGCTTAACAAATACACAGTAAGTTCACAGTGAAATCCTGCGATCGTTTTTAGACGTTTCAACAACATGATATTATCGACTTCAAAATCCTCACGCTCGTGTTCAAATCCCTTCACTCTCTGGCACCTCCCTACCTCTCCGGCCCTCTCACTTCCCAATCCACCACCCGGCACCTCCACTCGACTGGCACCGGCCTCCTGCTCATCCCTCACACCCTCCGCCCTACCATCGGAGGTCGCGCTTTCAGCCACTACACCCCAAAACTCTGGAATGCTCTCTCTCAATCCCTCCCTCTTGCCCCCTCTCTCTCCTTTTTCACGTCCCGCCTGAATACCTTCCTCTTCGACTGTGCTTACGGCAGCTCGCCCACCCCAACTCGGAGTCAGGCTCCACCACTGTTAAGCGCTCTGAAACACTTCCCTGCGTGGAGGGCGCTATATAAGTGCAAGTTGTTGTTGTTGATAAGGCGCTATATCAAACTCTAGGATTATTAATTATTATAAATATCGTAAATGATTTGATACCTTATCTTCAAAACCACAATGAAGCATTGGAAAGTCTCAAAGAAGAGCAAAATGGATATTCCCATGACTTAAGAGCTTGCTGTTGAGGAGGAATTCCACCTGGTCGAGATTTAATCTTTGACGTAGTAATTCAAAAGTCAGAATTTGGTAAATTGTTAAATTCAGCCTTAACTTTGCATCCGTTTTTTTTTAAGCTTTCTAAAAAAAAACTCACAGAAAGCTGGCTTCAAAACTAAGGTTATGTTTAAGAATTTGCCGAATTCTGGATGCTCTGAAAACGCTCCATAAATAGAGTTGGCCTAGACATGGGTGGAATTTCCTCCCCCCCACGTTGAGAATCTCACAGAGCTTAACTGTTTCTGAGCAGAAGGAAGAATAAATAGGCAAGCTACAGACACAATCCCGGTTTTGTAAATGAGGAGTGAGAGATGAGATACACACAAGCAGACCCTTTGGCTTAGACCATGAGATAAGAACTTGAGTGTGTAGGTTTAAAGGCTAAAGGCTGGAAGAATTTCAGTGTCCTCCAGACGAGTGGATAGTGGAAATGACTTCAAATTTGCTGCTGTGTTCACCTACAGTCACTACAGTTTGTAGTAAATCCCATGAAGCGCTTCGAGATGTTCTCCCGATGTGAAAGGTGCTGTATCGAATGCAAGAATTATTATTAGTAGTAGAATAATTTTAATTATGTTTTGCTGACACACAAAAGTATGAAATAGATGCAGATAATGATAATAATAACAATCCTTGCATTTGATTTGGCATTCGGTGAAGAGGTCTCAAAACGCTTCCCAGGTTGTTACTGTAAAGTGTAGTGATACCATCGCGTCTGGGTCTGTGGGATTCTGACACTTTCATTATGGTGTAGGACTCCCTCTATGTGGAGGCAACAGGAAACCTGATTCCAATAGAGCTTTTCAAACCCAGCGCTGTGGGGGGTTGGGGGAGAGACC